ATACTGAGGTTGACTCATCACTTGGTCGCCACCGGGCTTGAGCATAGCTGCAAACAGCTGCTTGCTGCTCTGCTGCCTCGGCCATACCGGACACGTCCGGTAGGCATACCGGACATGTCCGGTATGTGCAGGCAGACAACAGGTCATGCGCTGCTTGCACTTCTTGCTCTGGCTCGGTGCTCTTGAGGTTTTGTGAGGCTTCTTTGCTGTATGATGACACAATGGACATACTTTCCATTGACTCGATCTCAAGTGCATAATCACATTTGGATTTTCCATATAAATCAAAAAGTCTAGTCCAAATGAGATGAGCACTCTCCAGAGGTGGTTGTCCATTGAAGATTGCCTCATCTTGAACCTCTACACTCAATGTACTCAAAATAATATTAATAGCTTGAGCATTGAGTTGCACGCATATCTCTTCCTCTTTTGATAAATTCTTATAGTTGCTCCAATCAACTATAGGAAGAGGTATGCTTGCAAACACAATATGCTCAACAATAGGACTAATATGTCTAAAAGCATTGAGTATATGAATTGACCAAGGTAGAAAGTTTGAACCATCATTTTGGAGAAGCACCAGCTCCAACTCTATAGGCGTCGACATCCTTTTCTCACGGCGGTAAAGCTTTAGGTGTGAACCTTGCTCTGATACCAATTGAAAGGAACTAGGATGTCGCCTAGAGGGGAGGTAAATAGGCGTTTCTGAAAATTAACACCTTTAAATACGGAAACAATTAGAAAGGGGAGTTTCCAAAATGGAAACTCCAAATTAAGAGTACTACCACCCCTCACAAGTTAGCCACAGAGTAAACAAGGTATAAAGAATATATCTAGAAGCTACAACCCTGCAACACTAAGTTAGAATAGAGAATAAATATTTTCAGTGCAGGCAGGAAATACCGGACGTGTCCGGTATGAATACCGGACGTGTCCAGTATACACGATTTCTGCAGATCGGCCCCGAACTTGCTCCTTTCAATTTCTATCTTCAAACCAAACTGCAGGCACCTAATGGAGATGACAATATACACAGAGAACCTGCAGAATAGCTAGAGCAACACAAATATCAAATGAAATGCGAATTGAGACACGATATTTGTTTTACCGAAGTTCGGACTCGTTCGAGTCCAACTCTCCGTTGAGGGGGCTGCGGGCGACCCAGCGAAGGTCATCCCTAGAGGGTACCACGAAGGTCACTCTAGCCGGAGTATTTTCCAACTCCTTTTCCTCCTTCCACTAATTTGATTCCGAGGCGGCGGAATCGACCATTACAAACTTTCCGAGGCACACCACAATCTCTCGGGTGCTCTCCGGCGACGCCTAACCGTCTAGGACCAAAGAGTCCAAGAGTAACAAATGCGAATCACGAGATTGACAATATGCACAAGTGCTCAAGTGGTGGCTTGCTCTCTTTTTCAAATTCTCTCTTAACCCACAAATTGATTTTGCAATTTGGATCACACACTCACTAAGAGAGGGTTTAGGAGAGTTGGCAAGGCTCAAAGACGTGTGTCTATCTCAGCAGAATCAGCAGCCTCCAAAGGTGGAGGCTTGGGGGTATTTATAGCCCCCTTGAAAAACTAGCCGTTTTATAGCCGTTGCAATACCGGACACGTCCGGTATGCATGTCCGGTATGACTTACACTGCCCTAACGGTAACTAAGTTACAGTGAAGTTGTGAGGCGTCGGAACTCCCGATGAATGCCGGAACTCCCGACCCTCAGCAAATTTGAAAACCATGTAACTGAGTTAAAGAATATGAGGTGTCGGAACTCCCGACACATGCCGGAACTTCCGACCATCGGAACTCCTGACTCACGTCGGAACTCCCAACCCTCAAGGCTTTGGAAAACTAGCCGTTGGCCTCTGGTCGTCCATACCGGACACGTCCGGTATAAATACCGGACACGTCCGGTATGACCAGGACAGTGAACCCTCCAAGACAGTTAAAGTGTGAGACATCAGAACTCCCGACCCTTGCCGAAACTCCCGACCGTCGGAACTCCCGACCTACGTCGGAACTCCTGACGAACCAACCCGAGAACAACATTTTTATAGTTACTGGGCAAATACCGGACACGTCCGGTATGCATACCGGACACATCCGGTAAGGCCAGACCAGCAACAAGTCAGTTAGCCTTTTTGTCTCTCAAACACTCAAATCTCACATGGGTTGGCTTGAGCACTTATGAAACATTATCTATCAACATGATGCATCCCTCTTAATAGTACGGCATACCTATTAAACTCAAGATCAAAGGAAAAATGGATTTATACCACTTGAGTTGATCTCTTTTGAATTGATGCCGTCTCTTTCAATCTTCATCAAGTAAGGGTGCTAACATGTTGATATTGATCTTTTCACTTGAGCATAGCCATCTTGAGCACGTGACTTGATTCCATTCATCAAATTTGAATAATCCCAAATGTATCAAGTCACTTCCATCAAACAATCCAATAGTGATTTGATCCTCTACATGAACATGGCCATCATAGCTTGATTAGTACCTCAACTAAATGCAAGTACTTTCTTCTTCACCCTAGCTAGGTTCTTCGACCGCCAAGCCGTCGCTTGCCCTTCACTCTTGCTTAGTATCTCGAAGCCTTTCCTTGCTATCTTCACCATCTCAAGCCATCAAGTCACTTCTTGTGTTGAATCATCCATTCATTTGTATTGTTATCTTTTTCATTTCAATTTAGCAAGCTTCAAGTATGAGACCATTCCATATGCAATTTCTCATGTCTCATTAATTAATTCTCACGAGCTTGCTTTCACATAGCAAATGGAAATCCCACAATAAATGAGCCTTTGCACGAATAACATTTGCATTGTTGTCTTATGCTTGAACTAGATTGTTTATACAACAACACATCATTTTGGCTTTCATTAAGTACTCATGAGATAACCTATAACCTGTCCACACTTAGCAAACGGGTTAGACCTTTAATCACGTTGTCATTCAATCATCCAAAACCCACTAAAGGGCTAGATGCACTTTCACCCGTATTGCCCCTATACGAGAGGATAAGGAGCACGCCGCTGTTCTTCTCTGCCGCCCCCGTTCTTCTCTCGCATTCTTCCCCCTTTTCTGCCGCACGCCCGCGCCACCGTCCATTCTTCTCCCCTCCGCGGCGAACCAGGCGTGAGCGGTGGCGGCGAATCGAGGCATGGTTGTTGGCGGCGATTGGAGGTGGTGGCGACGGAGACAAACCCTAACCTCGCGTCCACTGGAGGTGATGGAGGGACCCTGATGGCGGGGAGCTCAGGCTTAGCGCCTCCGTGCACGTCCACTGCTCCGGCGGTGATGGAGGACAGCGGCAGCAGGTACCCTTTCTGCATACTTCGTCTCCATGTGGTCAACACAGTTGGCGATTAGTTGCTATTCTGATGATTTGTGCATGTATACACTTTGATTTGGGGATGAATTTACTGCTTCTTAGGGGTGGGATGTTTGTGCTAGAGGTTAAAGTCGAAGCTTTTGCTTCCAAAGACTCGACTGGTAGGAAATCATACACAAAAGGCCGAGTATTTAAATGGGATGTGGAGTATAGGTCACTGACACTAGACTTGCTGTTGAAACATCTGGCAACTGAAATAAATCTTTGCACTAACTAGACACCCACTGTTTGGTTCTTTGATAAAAGATTGAATAAGAATGTCAGACTAGTTGATGAGATAAGGATGGTTGATTTGTTTGAAATGCATAAGGAGGAGATGACCTGCCAGGTTATAGTAGGTGTATTTGATAGTGCAATTTGTGTGGAACCTGAGTTTGATGCACTGGAGCCTCTCTGTGTGGTTCCTCCTAATGATGCAGCAGAATTAGGCACTCATGATGCTAACATGCCTAAACAACCCAGTAGTGGTGGTACTGAGCCAACAACCTTGCCATGTGCTTCTCCTGAGAATCCAGAGGTGGCTGATGAGTTAGAGCCAGACAGAGAGGCAGCTAGAGAGCCAGATAGAGAGGCAGCTAGAGAGCCAGATATCTTTGATAACGATGAAGAATACGTGGGAGTTGATGATGAGGCCATGTATGATGAAGCGCCACCTACTGAGTTTGCACAGCCACAACCATTTGACAATGCTAACACTCATGCTACTGCTGATCCATCTGATGACTTTGTCCATGTTGAGGCAGAGGTGGATGATACTGATCCTCTGGAGATAAATGTATGGCATGACCCTGAGAACCCGAAGATTGTGAGGGGGAGCTGTTTCCTGATATCATTGCATTCAGGAAAGCATTAACCCATGCGCACACGCTCCAGCGTACGGTGGCCGTAGGCTCGAGTACAGGCTCAGGCAACATGCCTGACGGCGTGGCGCGTTCGGCGGCCTCCGCTCTGCTCCCAAGGTAATAGACTCCGATCACCACGAACACGGAGTAGCCGCATTGTCCGCGTCATAGCTTAAGTTTTATGGATCTGATCGAGGTCTGCGAAAAGATTCCAATCATTTGTTGAAAATTATTGACTCAAATGGAAGACTTGGTTTCACATTTCATTTTTCTCGTCTCTCTTGTATAATTTCAAATGCAACATGATATCTGATTGCTGCGATGGAAAATAACACGACACACCAATATGGTTATATCATGTTCTTACAAATTATTATCTCCGAGCTAATAAGAGTCTCCGTAGAAACCAACTATTTTAAAGTTGACAAATGACAAGCAACCAATCGATAATAATTATTACATGCTGCAGCTTGTTACGTCCACACCAATTTCTGCATCCTCCAATTGCTTCAACTCTAAAGTTCTTGGATCAAAGATTACTTACTGAACCCCTAATGCCACAGCTGTGCCTGGGGCCATTTATTTGATCTTCTGAATCTGGAAGTGAAAATACCGGAGATCCCACCAAGTTTGGCCATGGTAAATTGGTAATACAATTACAAAGCTGTAGCAGCTGTTTGTTTCTCTGCTCAGTTACGGCAACTGCTTGTCTGAAAACTCATGCACATTATTGTGGCCCATTTCTATTGATTGAGGTTAACCAAAGTATCTGGATAATACAATCTGATCATATAGCACTCCTAGTCCAAAGAAAAGACTGAAGGTGATTGTGAAGATGGACTTGCTGCCACCTTGGTTTTCATACACAGTGGGCACGGGACCTTGCTCTGCTGAATTGCACTGGTGAATAAGCATGGGGCCACAGAGCTTCGGGTTGCCACCAAAGCTGGAATTTGTAAATGTACTAAACTGGCCTGTGGTCGGCACAGGCCCTTCTAGGTCATTGAAAGAAACATTGAATTCAGTAAGGAAGTGTAGATTGTTCAGCGCTCCAGGGATTGCACCAGTTAGATAGTTGTTTGACAAGTCAAGCTCCAACAAGTTGGTGAGGTTGGAGATCGATTGGGGGATATCCCCATATAGTTTGTTGAAGTTCAAATTAAGTGACTGGATCTCTTTTAAGAGACCGATCTCTGGAGGGATCACACCAGTGAAATTATTGTTTCCTAGGTCCAGCAGTATTGGAAAAGCATTCACCTTGCGGTATTGAAGTGATGTGCCTAAATAAATTGGTACTTCAAAGACTCTTGGATCCAAAGGTGCCGCAGTCTTCTCCGATTTTAGCATCGGCATCTCTGTTAACGCTGTAGGAATTCCCCCAGTCAAACTGTTATTTGATATGTCTAGATAGAACAGGAAGTTTAGGCTGCTTATCCAGTCAGGAATCGGCCCAGTTAGTTGATTGCCATCTAAATATAACATCTGCAAATTTGTTAGCTTCGATAACCAATAAGGTATTTCCCCCAACAATGAGCATCCAGTCAAGGAAAGAACCTGAAGATTCTCAAAACCATCAATGCGTTCATCATCTGGCATGGTCTCGTTCATGAAGTTGAGCCCAATAAGAAGGGTGGTGAGGTTTTTGGAGCTCTTTAGTATCTGAAGTGCATTTGCCAAATTCGTAAAACTGTTGCCAGTAAGTGAAAGGAACGAGAGTGACTTCAGATTGCCTAGTCCCTCTGATAACTGACCATGGAAATTATTAGAAGATAGACGCAGTGCAGTTAGTTTGTGGCATGAGTATATGGTTTCTGCAATTTTGCCACTGAAGTTATTCTCCATAAGATCCAAGATTTGTAGATTGGGTAAGTTGGAGAAATTGACCTTGGTGAGTTCTCCACTGAAATTGTTGTTCTTGAGGTCGATGTTTGTGAGATTTGTGCAGTTGCTCAGGGCTGATGGCAGCTCCCCAGACAGGTTGTTATAGCCCGAATGAAGTTCCTGCAATTTCTTGAGCTGAACTAGGGACTCGGGTACCTTACCTCTGAAATTATTTTCTCCAAGATCAAGGATGACCAGATTAGTGAGATTGGCTATATGTGTGCCCTCAAGTATTCCATGTAAACCGTTGCTGGAAAAAGTGAGATGCTCCAACAAGGTCCCATTGAAGAGTTCATCAGGGAGAGTCCCACTGAGGTGGTTGTGGCCAGCCTTGAGCACTTTGAGCTTGGAGCAATTACTGAGTCCTGGGGGGATACTGCCACTGAGTTTGTTGTAACAGAGTTCAAGGATAGCAAAGTTTGGTGATATGTTACAGAAATGACTTGGAATCTGCCCAGTAAAGCTGTTGTTGCTGGCATTGAGCGCCACTAGATTCTCCATCCCCTTCCATGTTGCGATTGTAAACTGCCCTGTAAACAAGTTGCTTGAGATGTTGAGTACCTTTAGAGGTTGGCTAGAGGTCGAAGACGGTAGTTCATGCAAGTCTCCGCTGATCTGGTTAAAGCTGATGTCAAGGACAATGATACTGCTGGATGACACCAATTCCTGGGGCAGGTTACCGGACAACGAATTGTAGGACAAGTTAAGATGCTGCAGGCCGGTGAGGTTGCCAAGAGACGTGATGCTCCCTTCAAGGCCTCTAGATGGCAGAGAGACCTCAATGACTGTCTTGTTTCCATTGCAGGTGACCCCTTCCCATTTGCAGCAATCAGTGCCTTCTTCCTGCCATGACTTGGCAAGACCAGAATCTTGAGAGAGGCCAGCAAGGAACTGGAGGAGAGATTTCTTCTCCTGCTCCGTGCAAGAACTGATGGGGGTGGCCAAGGAGAGCAGCAGCACAAGAGAAACGGCAAGGACAGGTAGGGGTAAACTAATGTTGTATTTCTTGTATGAAAAATGGAGTGGCTGCATGGCTTCCTATTGAAACTAGCATGGAAACCAGATGCTTAATTTGTGCCCAATCTAGACAAAGTTATAATGCTCTAACCGGGGAGGAACATAAGGTAGAAGAACAGGCTGCTGGTTCCATCTTGCTGGTCCCTTCTAGTAGTGTCCACCACAAAGAAAAATAGAGGCAAGGATTAGATGGTACGACAAAGTCTTCATTATGATTCTATTATATGCAACAGAGAAATCAGCTCGCTTGTTCACACCTAGATGTTTCATTGGTGGCTACCTGCTATGGTCCAGTAGGAATCCAACTGACGAAGCTTCCTGGCCGTACAAAATATTTGCCTCTGTCCAGTCATCATGGAATCAATCCTTGTTGAGTTTCTACAGTCTGCTGTGATATACCATTTTACCTGGTTTGACATAATTTATGTTGCCACGTTCGTATAACCCCTCCATTGCCCCCCAAAAAAAAAAAAAAAGTGAGTAGTGGCTGCACTGAAACTTTTGAATTTGACCAAATTTTGTATTGAATTTTAAAAAGCTGGCCTGTGCAAGAGTAGAGAGTCTTACTCACCTGTGACCGGAAGGTCCGGGTTCGAGTCATGGTCTCCTCAAGATTGCAGATGCAGAGAAGAAATTGCCCATTGGTCCTTCTAACATGAAAAAACGCATTTTTTGTATTGTTGGTCCCTCTAACAAAAAAAACGCATTTTTCGCTCTGTTTAAGACAAAAATAAATAAATTAGAATCACTAATCGATGTGCATTTTTTGTTGAACAGGAAAAGGTCCGTATATCTTAAAGGCACAATTGTCGAAGATCTGCATCTGCAAGACCCGATTGGCCTGAGAGTACGCAAAGCGCATGATTCCGAAAGACGCCTACAATTTAGAGCAATCATCGGGTTGGCGGTCAAGGTGTGTACATGGTTTGGACTTAGGCGCAAGTGGAGGCAAGAAAAATAAGAAAGCAATTGAGGCGGTGGTGACAGGGCGAGGGCGACCTGGTGGCTGGTGCCTGATGCCCTTTTCTTCTGACTGGCTGATGCGCATGGCTGTTTTCCATAGCCCAGGTTCCAGAGGCGCATATGATGAACCTTTGGTCCACGGCTGGTGTTGCTGACTGGAATTCAAAAGCGCTGGAATGGAAGTAACAGCCATGGAGAGCGGGGAAGCTGGTGCTACTGTGAAGTGTGAACATGGCCTATCAAATTTATTCATTCAGGTGGTGATGCCAATAATCTCGTGTATTTGCAATTGCCTCTGTTTGGCTTACGTTTCACCAATAATTTAATAATTTACTTTTCCTCCGTTTTGGTTTACCTGTGTGTGGTCATCGTGATATTGTACTTCCCTCTGTTTGGGTTTACCTGTCACCAATAGTTTACTGACCTACCGCAGAACAGTCAAAATCGCTAGGTAAAAAGGTGATGTCGAATAAACCCAAACGGAGGGGAAGTAATGTTTTATTGGTTGAGATTATGTTGATGATTATGCTTACTTGGTTACAGTATTAGTGTGCGCAATTGCACATTTTATATTGGCTCTTAGTAGCTGTTGTATGATTATCTGTAATCACGGGTGACTGACTATTTTCTCGTGGTGTTGATTATTGCAGAACAGAACATCATGTAGCTGGCTGAGCCGAACAATCTGCTGAGCAGGCGTTGCGTCCCTATGGCCATTTGTTTGTGCAGATGTACCTGGTTTGTCTGCTCCTTTGCATTCACGCTCAGTTTGTTTATTTTCCTCACTCAGACACATCGTAACTTAACACAATGCATCAGGTATTCAGGTGGAGAGGCAATTGGAGGAAGATGGGAGGGAGATGGAGCTGAAGATGGTGCGAGGGGCTGGCGTACGAGTGCCGGCTTGCACTCTGGAGTGCAGGTGCAGCCAGCCAGACCGGGTAGTGGGCCGCTGTACTCCACGGACCACGGCTGGCAGTGGCAACTGTCAAGTCAAGGCAGTGAGCGGATCGCCATCGGACGGAGCGCGCAGCGTACCGTACGCGTCCAGGCTCCAACGAGCGGCATGCGCGCGTGGACGCGGTCTGGTCAGCGCACAGCCCTCAACTCACGACTGCCAAACCGGCGGGCGGCCGGGCGGCGGCGACGCGACACATGCCAGAAGACGCGTCGTCGCACGCCCGTCAGCCACTCAGCCGTCCGCGCCGCGTTCTTGTGTTCCACCACCCATCGCGTACGTACGTAGTACGTGCTCCGTTCATCATCATGAGTCTGAAAGTCTAAAAGGCCTTACCTTCTCCGATTCAAAGTCGTCCCAACTCCGAGAACGGGCTGAAATATTGGGGGAGATGGTGGCGACGTCCGACGTGACGTGAAAACGGGCTGTACTGTACTGCCATGTACGTAGGCGCGTGCGTACGGCGTACCGATACCCAACCCAACCCAATGTGTCTCTGTGGGTGGGATGTTTCAGAATGCAAATCTAGCCAGCAAAAGGCAATACATATCTTGGTATTTAAGGTTATAATGAGATATTAAGGTTCATAGGAGGCAAAATATTTTAGTACAGGCCTCGTAATGCAAATCTAGCAAGCAAAAAGGCAATACATATCTTGGTATTTAAGGATATAATGAGATATTAAGGTTCATAGTATATTGTCCGTGAAAAAAGGACAATATGTTTCTTTGAAATAGTACGCTACGGTAAAAGACAATAAGCACATGTGCGCAAGTTTTAGTAACATAGTATCCCCAAACATAATTAATCATATCGATAAAAACAAACGGTGTAACTACTACTATAGTTTATTGCTAATAACAGCTTATTGGAGTAAGCCATCTATTCATCGAAGTCGCGAAATTGGTAAAAGTGTTTCCCTATATAAGAGGCTAGCAACACGTAAGTTGTAGGCTTGCAGTGATGCCCATCAATTAAGTTTTGCTTGCAATCTAAATTTAAAGAAAGTTACAATCTATGAATCGATGGCATCTTACAGCATCTCCAGCAGCTCACCAATAGCTTATCCCCAATAAAATAGTATTGGTGGTCATCAATACTATTTTTTTTAATATTGGCGAAGATGCTCCAGCAGATCACCAATAACATCCTCCAATACATAGAATCCACATGTCAGAATGGAGGATGGGAGGAAAAAGAGGACGGTTATTGTGGTCCCAACACTATTTGGAGAGATGCAACTACCCCTTTATTTGAGGGAAGATAGGAAAGGGAGAGCTTTTGGGGAGCTACGGGAGCAAAAGGAATTGCCCCATCTCTCCCAATATGACAGTTTTATGGAAATGAAGGATAGTATTAGGGAGCTGCCAGAGATGCTCTTATATCATCAGCTATAAGTGAATTATTTCCTTTGCACCTCTTTTATAGAACAAATCAAACCCTACACAAGCAGATGAAGACAGAAGTTGTCTACGTACTCAGCGTGTTGTCCAGCTATCAACTTATGACACATCATGTCTCAAAGCGAAAAAAGAATCACAAAGGGAATAGAAGGAGGATAAGCAAACATGTTTTTGCAAGGTTGCAAGCACGATCAGGGGAGTTCAGGATCTCATAGTAGAACACTGAAAAGTCAAGCACAAGCCCAAGCCTTTATTAGACCATGTTTAGAACGTGGGAGTGGTATGTGTGGCCACTTGACCCGTGCACTGTATTCCATTTTAACCATCATTCGTTGCACACCAGACTGTGATTTTTCTTTCTAGGAATTATTTGTTTATTCAACTTTCTATTTTTAGAAAGTTACACTCAATTTTTTGTGCCTGATATTTTGTGAGACCAAACTTGCTACTATAACTTTTTATCATAACTTTTTCAAAACAGTTTATTGACATAATTTTAACATTTTGCAAGACTAAACTTATTACTATAACTTTTCATCATAACTTTTTCAAAATAATTTATGGACATAATTTTATACACAAACTTAATACCACACTTCGTATCTTACCTTTTTCAATACATATTTTTGATAATTCTATAGATAATCTCATCATGACAACTTTTGACTAGGATGTTTTCTTTTTTTAAAAAAATGAAAAGGGGAGCTTCATATATTAAACTATATTGATACAACTTTTATAATGACATTTTATATATTAACTAATTCTATTTTACGACGGTCATTCAGAGCGGACGACGATCATGGGCCCGCTCTATGTAGTTATCACTTTTTCCTCATTTTCTTTTTTCTTTTTATTCTTCCCTTTATCCATTTTTATATCAACCAACCAATTTTTTCTTCTATATACTATGAATAGTCTTCTTTTTTGATTCATAAGTTTGTCAAAAATTGTTCACAACAAAAAGTTTGTCGAAAATTATGTAAAGTAATTGTGTTGGCCAACAAAAACTTATGTGTATAAGTTATATCAGTGGTGGATCCAGGATTTAATGGAAGAGGGGGCTGAATGCTGAAGTCATCCTCAACCTCTAGAGCCCCCCATTTCTCTTTTTTATGTCAAAAATTAGGAGGGGCTCCATTGTCATGGAGGTGGTAGGAGGGGCTTGAGCCTCACCCACCCCACCGCTAGATCCGCCCCTGAGTTATGTTATTTGTAAAATTTACTATATGAAATTATGCTAGAAAATTGTGTTAAGAAATTTTTATGATATTTTTTTGTTGATATTTATGAACAAATATTGGGTTGCAAAGGTAATTAAAAATATGTTGAGCAACGGATGAGCACAAACTGTGGTTTAGTTTTTTATGACATTTTTTTGTTGATAGTTATAAACAAATATTGGGTTGCAAAGTTAATTAAAAAATATGTTGAGCAACGGATGAGCACAAACTGTGGTTTAGTTTTTTTTTTTTTTGAGGAACAAACCATGGTTTAGTAAGAGAGAAATGCTCCCTACAGTAAGATTCCAGCCCAAACCACTCGCTTTGCAGCCCAAACATGCTACCCAAACGCAGCCCATGTATCATGGATCCCGACACTCACCGGCCACGGCCCAGCCCAGTTCATCGTTTCCTTTCGCAGCCTTCACCGCTTCAGCCTTCAGGCGAACCACCGCCCAAGTTCCAAGC